AAAAAAGCCTAAGAACAGGCACCTTTCAAGAATCAGAAATGCACCAGGCGTTGTGGTGCACACCTGTAACCCCAGCACTGGGGAGCCTGAGGCAGGAGGATCGCTGCAAGTTTGAGGCCAGCTTGAGCTGCACAGAGTTCAAAGCCAGCCTGAACGACACAGCAGACCTTGTTTCAAACAAACAAATAGAAAGAAATGGTATAATGATTTTAACAAGATAGTTGACACTCTTGACCTAAATGACACCTTATAGAACCCCATACCCACCAAAGAAAAATACACAGTATTTGCAATCTAAAAATTTCACTCTATGCTGGTACTTGAGTCAATAAATTTCACAAGTTGGCTTCAACTCAAGTGGTTACTTACCTGACCATTTGGCCCATTTAAGTCAATATATTTCAAAGGACTGAAATAATACAGTGCATTTTCTGACTATACTCTTACTAAGTAAATAACAATTTCAGAAATTCCCATGTGCTTTGAAACTGGGTATTATATTTCTAAATAACTCATGGATAAAAGCAGTTATCATGCTGGAAATTAGAAAGTACCATTTGCTCATTAGTAATGAAAATATTATATACAAATTTTTTAAAAACCTGGCGGTAGATATATAGCTCTAGAATATTTCTTAGAAAAGAATAGCTGCTGATTAGTGATTTAAGTTAGAAAATAAACAATCTAAAGACAGTAGAAGGAAAAAATAATAATAGGAACAGGCATTGAGTCATAGAAAATAAACATATAGGAGACAAAGTCATTTTTTTTAATTTACCAGAAAAGAACATTCAGGACATGCACAAGGCCCTGGGTTCAATCCCCACCATGTGTGCACACACAAGTACACATACATGTATGCACACACCGAATAGAAAAGGACTTCAGTAGAAATTCAGACTTTTCTAAACTAGTAAGTGGGTATTGTGAACAACTTTATGTCGACAATTTGAAAATTTACATGAAATGACTGAGTTCCTGGAAAATAGAACTCACCAAATTGACTTAAAAAGCAGCAAAAGCGCTCGCTACAGCAGCACATACACTAAAATTGGAACGAATCAGAGAAGATTAGCAGGGCCCTGTGCAAGGATCACATGCAATTTCGTGAAGCATTCCATATTTTTTATAGCGGCACAGTGTGCAATAACTAAAACTTGGAAACAGCTCAGTTGCCCATCAGCTGGAGACTGGACAGAGAAGATGTGGTTTTTCTGTAAAACTGAGTACTACTCAGCCATAAAGCATAACAAACTAGATTCATTTATAGCTAAATGGATACACGCTGAGGACATACTCTTAAGTGAAATAAATAGGACACGTGTAAATATCGAATAGTTTCTCTAGTGTGACAAAGTAAAAGTGTAAATAAGGTTCAAACTGTATAATTGATAATGTGAAGTAAGAAGAAAAGGGCTAAAGGAGTAGGGGAAGTGGGAAGGGTAGGGGAAAGGAAAGAAGGGGAAAGGAAAAATATGAGAAAAGGAAAAAATGGAAACAAAGTCTGTGTAAATAGGGAAGGGTACAGGGACAAGGGGAGGGCAGAAGTATAGGAAAAAAATAAGAACCAAGATACATCATGTAAAGGTACAAGATCCCAACAATGAATGTAACTGTACTGTATGCCTGCAAAGTACCAATAAATTTAAAGGAAAAAAAAGGCAGGAAAAAAAATTTTGGGGGGATACTGGGGATTGAACTTGAGACCTTGAGCTTGCAAGACAAGCGCTGGAACCACTGAGCTAAATCCCTGGCCTGAAAAAATTCTTAATAGTTTCTAATTTTCAAATAAAATAAGTTTATCAACTTTCCCAAACACTTACTTGTTACCAGCCTCATACATCTGGATAGTAATGAAGTCAGACGACACCTCAGAAGGAGAGACAAGCCATCTAGGCACAAAACCTTGATACATCTTGGCAATTTGAAAGGACAGAAATTCTAGGGAGGACTGGGGATTTAGCTCAGTGGTTCTGCTGCCTGCCTCACAAGCGCAAGAACCTGAGTTCGATCCCTGGTATCAAAAAAAAAAAAAAGAAAGAAAGAAATTCTAGGGAAATGCTGAATGGGGAAGTTTCCTCGATTTTCACTTCAGAAAATCCAGCATGGAACTACACAGCACAGGACCACTATCTGGTATTACATACTGGCATCCTCAGCTCAGGCCAGCATCCACCCCTCTTCTAATTTAGCTTTGTGCTAACCACACAAGTTCAGCTGATCTTTCATCCACATGACCATACTGTTGTCTGTTCTGTCTTCTTCCTGAGACATGTCTGTTCAGTTCAGATGCCCATTTTTGAATCAGGTCTTTATATTTGGGGGCGGTGATTGTTTTGAGTTCTTTATATATTCTAGATAAGAGTCCTTTGTCTGAGGAGCAGCTGGTAAAAATTTTTTCCCACATTGTAGGTTGTCTCTTAGTTCTGTTGATGGTTTCTTTTGCAGTGCAGAAGCTTTTTAATAAGATGAGATCCCAGTTGTTGATTCTTTATGCTAGTTCCTGTGCTACTGAGGATTTGTTCATAAAGTCTTTTCCTATCCCAATGTCTTCCAGAGTTCTGCCTAACTTATCTGCCAGCAAGTTTAGTGTTTCTTTTTTAATATTTAGATCTTTAATCCACTTGGATTTTAGTTTAGTGCATGGTGAAATATAAGGGTCTAGTTTTAATATTTGGCAGGTTGAGATCCAGTTTTTCCAACCCCATTTATTAAAGAAACTATTTTACCTCCAATGAGGATGGTAGGCTCCTTTGTCAAAGATGATATAGCTGAGTACGTCTGGAGTTGTTTTTGTATCTTCCAGTCTATTCCACTGATCCTCAGGTCTGTTTCTTTGCCAGTACCATACCGTTTTTATCACAGTGGCTTTGTAGTATCGTTTCAAATTGGCAATTGTCACACCCGCTGCCATGTCTGTGTTGCCTAGGATGGCTTTCGCTATTCTAGGTCTCTTCTGGTTCCAAATGAATTTTTGGACTATTTTTTCTAGTTCTGTGAAATATAGTGCTGGAATATCAATCAGCATTGCATTGAATCTGTATAGCAGTTTTGGAAGTATGGTCATTTTCACCGTTGATTCTTCCTACCCAGGGGCAGGGGATATCTTTCCATTTTCTTATATCCTCTTTGATCTCTTTTTTCAGAGTGCTGTAGTTTTCAGTGTAGAGGTCTTTTGCTTCTTTCGTTAGATTAATTCCTACATACTTCATTGTTTGGGATGTTATTCTAAAAGGAATTGTTTCCCTAATTTCTCTCTCTATGAGTCTGTTATTTGTATATAAGAAGGCTATTGATTTTTGAGTGTTGAACAGACATTTCTCAGACAAAGAAGTAAAAGCAGCAAGCAAACATGTGAAAAAATGTCCCACATCACTGGTCATTCGAGAGATACAGATGAAAGCAACACTGAGATTCCACCTCACCCCCCAAAGAATGGCTGCTATCAAGAAATCAAACAATAACAAATGTTGGCGGGGTTGTGGGGAGAAAGGAACCCTTCTCCATTGTTGGTGGGAGTGCAGACTGGTGCAACCACTGTGGAAGTCAATATGGGGATACCTAAAAAAACTAGGATTAGAGGTTCCATTTGACCCAGCCATCCCTCTGCTGGGTATCTTTCCAAAAGAATTAAAAGAATCACACCACAGTGATATATGCACACTTATGTTTATAGCGGCACAGTTTGTAATAGCTAAAACTTGGAAACAGCCCATTTGCCCATCAGTTGGAGACTGGATAAAGAAGATGTGGTTTTTCTATAAAATGGAATACCACTCAGCTATAAAGAAAGAGAAATTAAAGTCATTCATAGGAAAATGGATACATACTGAGGATATACTCTTAAGTGAAATAAATAAGTCACACGTGTAAATACCAAATAGTTTATCTGGCGTGGAAAAACTATAATAATACATAAGATCCTAATGTTATAATTGACAATGTGAAATAGGAAGAAAAGGGCTAAAGGCATAGGGAAAGTGGGAAGGGTAGGGGAAGGGTAATAAAGAAAAAGAAAAAAATATGAAAAAATGGAAATAAAGTGTTTGTAAATGGGGAGGAAATGGGGGGGTGAAGGGAAGGCAGGGACAAGGGGAACAAATGAGAACCAAGACCCATCATGCAAAGGTACAAGATCCCAACAATGAATGTAACTGTACTGTATACCTAAAATGTACCAATAAGCTCAACGAAGAAAAACAAGAAACTTAGAAAATAAATGCTATGATTTCAGAACTCACAGCTCCCCAGATGCTCTCAAAATCATGCACGAATAAGCAGATCCATGTTAGCAGTAGTGGTACAGACACAAAAGTGTCATTATGCTTGGATCCTACTTTATCTGATAGGAGTTTGTGTGGTATTAGCACAAGCTTTAGAGAAACTATAGAATGAACTTAAACGAATCTACAAACATCTTTGCTTAACAGCCACAAGAAGAGAAGGAAAAAGAATCTGGCATCTCACAGAACAGAAACTAGCTTGTTAGGCTGTATGAATGCTTCATTATAAAACCAATCCATGAAAACTGAAAGCAAAAAAAAAAGAGTGGAAGGAAAGGAAAGGAACAGCAGAGTGGGATGGAGAAGGAGGAAAGAGAAAGGGAATAAAAGGGGAAGAGGAGAGGATAGGAAGGGACTGTCACAAAGAACATTCCAGGGTCACTGATGGATCTCATACAAATAATAAATCCAGCTGTACACAAAGTCTTCAGGGAGTAAAAAAGTAAGGGGAAACGTGTGATATCAGTTAAATTTTGCTATACTATTCTGTGGAAACACTCCCAAAATCTCAGCCACTGAAAATAATGGCGACTTCATCATCTTTCACACCAGTGTGAACCGGCAGTGCTCCTTCTGCAGGCTGTGCCTATTCCAAGCGTTTTAGTTCTTCTTGTGTAAGTTTTGATCGCTTGTATCTTTCAGAGATTTTGTGCGTGTCAACTAAGATATCATGCATATTATAAGAAAATTGTTTTTATTCTCATTTTAGGGTCTGCTGGTTAGGTAAGTCTTTTAGTCTTGACACTAGTAGTCTGTATTTCTCTATTTCTTTACCAGTCGAGTTTATCTTGTATACTCTTCAATGATCCAACATTTGGTTATGTTTTTTCCTCTAGTTTTCTATTTCATTGAATTCTGACCTTTATTATTGTTTCTTTCTACTTATGTTACTTATGTTACTTATGTTACTTAAGTACTTCTACTAATGTTATTGCATTTGTTCTATTTCCTTCAGGGCAAGTCTTAGATTATTGAAATAATCCCTTCTTTACTAATACCAGCACTCAACAACGTAAGTCTACCTCTGAGCACTGCTTTGGCTGTTTTCTACAACTTTTGATATGTTGCATTCCATTACTATTCAGTTCAAAGTATTTTCTAATTTCCCTTATTTTTTCTCTGATACATGGATTATTTAATGTTTTTTAAATTTCCAGGTATTTGAAGATTTTGTTTGTTTGCTTGTTTTTTGTAGTTTAGGCTGGCCTCGAACTCACTATGTAACCCAGGCTGTCCTTGTACTCATGGCAATCCTCCTGCCTCAGCCTCACAAGTGCTGGTATTATACAAAAACGCCATTATGCCTGACTTGAAGATTTTCTAAACACCGTACTGTTACTGAATTCTAATTTGATTTCCCTGTGGTTAGAGACCATACTCTGCATGATTTCAATCCTCATAAATTTACTGAGATTGCGTTAGGGCTCAGATATGGTCTATTTTAGTGAGAGCCACATTTGTATTTCAAAAAATGTATATTCTGCCATTGTTAGGTATAGTGTTTGATAAATGTCAATTAATTCAATTTAGTTGATAACGTCCAGAACACCTTTGTGATTTTGTATTTGTCCTATCACTTTTGTAGAAAAGAGCACTGAAATCTCCAACTATATTTGCAGCTTCGTCTATCAGGCACTTTATGAATTTTTAAAGCTGTGTTACTAAGTTCATCCACATCTTAAATTATTACATTTTCTTGATGAATTGACCCTTTTGTGGTTACAAAATCTCACTTTATCCCTAGTATTCCTTGTGCAAGAATCTATGTCTAATAATATACAGTCTAGTTCTTATGGGTATTGTTAGCATCCTTTTACGCTCATCCTTGCGTTTAAAATGTGTTT